AATATCACAGAAACACTGCAAATTTTTCCTTCTCGTTTCTCTGGTGACAAGAAAACAAAACAAATGCAGCTGGGTTGTTCTGCTCTGGCTGTATTGACACACACTGTGTGTTTTAACTCTTTTCCCTCCCTGCCCAGTGCTGCAAAACTGCAGATGGCCTGAAATCTCCACAAACATATCTTGGAATTATCCAGCATGTGCTCCAGACCACAGAGGCATCAGCCATCTCTCTGAGGTCCTGCCCTGCCAGGGAGCTGGAATGCAGTTGCTTCACTATGCAAAGGTTCTTCTCCATGAGTCAACAAGTTTTGGGATTCAACCATCCTATCTGGCTGCCTGGAAAAAAATGTGCTGCAAGAGAGAAAAGCATCAAAAAGCACAGATTGGGAAACTGGTAAAAGGGCAAGTATTCTGGGAGAAAGGGATTCAGGTTGTCCTTTCCCCAGTCTGTCTCTGTTCCTTGTCCTCCAATTTTTCATATAGAAAGAATCCCCTGGGCAGGAAGGGACCCAGAGGGATTATCCAGTTCAGCTCCTGGCCCCACACAGGACACCCCAACAATCCCACCCTCTGCACCCCTGAGAGTGTTGTCCAAATGCTTCTGAAGCTCTGGCAGCCTTTTGGTCACTTCCCTGGGGAGCCTGGTGCCCCAGCACCCTCTGGGGGAAGAACCTTTTCCTGATATCCAGTCTAAACCTAAATAATTTGCTTGTTGTGTTCATGTAATGATCTTGTCTTAGTGCTGCCCTGGCACTCCTGAGAGAACTCCGGACACCCTCCCTTTCCCTGGCATTGAAATGCCTGAGATGGCTCTGCCACCCCCTCCATGATAGTGAGCAGATCCAGAAACGCTCTGGGACTTTGACCTTTCAGAAGGGATCAGCTCCAGAAGATGCTGAGCCACCATGGAAAAGCTGAATCTAGACAATAAGCTTGGGCTGAGAAACTAAAGGTACAGTATTTTGCAAGTTCATCTTTATGGCTATAATTACTCCAAAGATCCAAAGAAATAGTGCACCTAGTGCACAGGAGCGTCCCTGCTGTTTCTTCAAACTGGTGTCCTTAAACCCATTCTGAGAAGGGAAATCATGAGCAGACAGGAGATGAATATTGGAGCAAAAGTCTACACACTAGTGGGGTCTAACCAACCATTTCAGGAAGATTGTTAGAACTCATGAAGATTCAGGCTTTCTCACCACTGTATCTGCACCTGGGACATCTTCATCCCCTAAGGATCTTGAGCTCTAGTAAAAAAACACAAGGCTACAGATATAGGCCTGTGCCTGGCAGAGCTTCAAAAGTGCTGTAGGTTGGGAAAACCTTGGGGCTGTTGAAAATTAAATTCTAGAAACTCCAAACAATCCTTCCTTACGTATTAGCAAGCAACAATTTGCAAGCACACAAAAGCTGTGTATAAAAACTGGGTGCTAAGTAAATAAGAGCTGCAAGAGCACAGGAGACTGAAAAGTTAACACTGGGATATTAAAATAGGAAAAAGTATGCAAAGCCTCAGGTAGTACTTGTGTGTCCATGAGTACTCCCTAAACATCCTGGAGCAGTTGGCTTTACTGGCCTAAATTCCAGGAAATGCTGCTAAAATATGGTATCAAATAAATATTTGCTTTTTTCTTCAGAAAGATTCCCCTTTGTGCCTCATCTTGCCACAACTTGAGAATGTCAGGCTCAGTGGGAGCTGTTGTTCCCATGCATAAACCGGGTTAATCCAGAAAAATAAGTTTATGTTGTTTTCTTATATATATATATATATATGCACATGTGTATGTGTATGTGTGTGTGTGTGTATATATGTATACACACACACACACACACACACATATATATATATATATATAAAGAAGATGACCTGATGAAGAAGACATGAATGAAGTGTACTTCAGGCTGTTGGAGAAGTCCTTAGAGCCACAGGGTGGGAATAAGCACCACAAGAGGTTTGTGAAATGGTTTGAAGGCAGGTTCCTGATGAATGAATCAACCAGGAGAGATGATCTTTTGGACCCACTACACAAACACAGGGAAGAACTGGCTGAAAATGAAAAGGTTGGAGGCAGCCCTGTCTGCAGGGACTGGGGCACTTCAGGGGGTGAGAGAAGTCAGCAAGGAAGAGCAGAATTACAGCCCTGAACCTCAGAGGAGCAGGGAATTACCTGTTGGGTGCAGGAATTCAAACACATTGTACGAATTGAGCTTGGAAGTCACAACCTTGGAATTGTCCAAGGCCAGGCTGGACAAGGCTTGGAGTGACCTGATCTAATGGAAAGTGTCCCTGGCCAAGGCCAGGGTGGAACTGGGAGGGCTTTAAAGTCCCTTCCAACCCAAAGCATTGATTGGTTCTGTGAATAGGAATCAAGAATTTCCAAAAATGGCAACTATAAAAGAGTGTAAAATCCATCCTTCTGTTTGTCATCAGTGAAAATGCTGAGAATATCAACTGCATGCTTACAAAGAATTGAAAACCAGCATCCATTGTTGTCAGTAAGCATTTAACAATCTTGGCCTCATTTTTTGGTTCTCTGCTTACAGTTAGAAAACAAGACCCTTGGAGTCTGCTGCATAACATCAGAATGGCATGAAGGGTGGTTGCTATCACAGACAAACACAAAGGAACTACAGTAGCTGCTTTCCAGAGAAGCTATAAAGCTGTTTCACATGTACACACATGGTTTAAAACCAAGAGTTCACATTTTATTGAGGGTTACAAGTCAGATGTATATAAAAAATAAATAAATAAAAAAGAGCAGATACACAGTTTATAAAGGAACAACTAAACAAACCATAAAACACATTTCAGTTTACAAGGGGATGTAAATGAAATAGTAGCCATCTGTGCCTTACTTCCAATTCTACAGAGTTGTAGAGGAGAGCAGATAAACAAGTCTTGTCTTTCTTTCTACCCTTCATCTTCCTACATTTCCTCTCCCTCCATTTTAAATGTAATGGAATACTCAGTATCTGTTCAGTACAATGTGTTCTGTGAGCTGTAATAATAATTTGCAGGTCAGATAGAATCACAGAATCATTAAGACTGGAAAAGAACTCTGAGATCACCAAGTCAAACACAGACAGTGAGTAACTAATCCATATCCATGTACATTCTATGCAAAATATCTTTCCATGAAATCTCCAGTTCCTCTGAAAGGAGAAAGAAAGAAATGAAATTTATTTTAGGATTAGGAAAAGGAGCTAAAGAGAGTACATTTGCCTTCAGAGCTTCCTATGTCCTCAGCCCATTCTTAAGAAAAAACCCTCAATGGCAGTAAACTAGCTCAGGCCTTTAACATCAGTTCTAAAAGAAGATGTAAAAAAACCCCAAAAAAACCAAAACAACAAAACAAAAAAACAATCAACCAAACAAAAACCCACAAAAAAAAAAAAGGCGGCAGGATGTTTTGAGGTTATTTTGTTCCATTTTCTACCACTTCAGTGTGTGTGTCAGACTGCCCCAACACAACAGGAACTTGCCAGGTGTACCCATCTGTGACAGTGGTGTGAAGATGACAATATTCCTACAAATGTCATGCAAATACATATCTAGACAGGGAGAAACACCAATATTGCCTTTTTTTCTGAAGGGAAAGTGTACAGCAAGGAGCTGTGCTGTAAAATATATAAGAATCCTTTCAGGAACAAGACATTTTGTCATGTCAAGCTGCAAGGAAAAGTTTTGATTTAACATGAGAAAGTTCAAGAAGCACACACATAAAGTTAAATGTTGGTCCTTTGCTCAAGAAACTGCAGAGAAAAGACAAGACTCTGGGAAGAAGGAGAGGGAGATGTGAAGGTGTAAGTTTGTGCTCTGCTCCTTTCCACTCACCAGCACTGCAAGGGACAGATGTGTTGTCCAGTTGTTTATGGTAAGGTTTCCTGCTGGATAAACAGTTTCTGCAGGGGCAAGTTCACCTAGAAACAGCTGCATTGAATGGATTAGAAGTATCATGGATGGGTACCCATGGACATTACAGAGCTTGGACACAGCAGCAAAGCAGGCAAAACAAATGGCTGGGATTGTGACATGTTCATTGGATTACTGGCAGGTGAATGGCTTGCACCTCAGATGCTGTCTGGTAAATCACTGTCAGCAAAATCTGGACCCCTCCTCTCCACTAAAGATACTCCAGAGTATCCCAACCCATTCAGAGCTGCAGGAGAATTCCTGGAAAGCAACAGCCTCACAAAATCCTTCTTTCGCTCTTCAAAACAAAATTATAGCTCAAGGGTCAACAGGCATTGTTCCTGAAAGTCACTGCTGTTCTTCATATTTTTTGTTGGGACATTTGCCCCTATTTTTCATTTAGCAGAGCTAAAAATACCTCATGAATTTAAAAATAATTTTAAAAATACTACAGTAACAAAGCACTTGAGCTCAAGGAGGGTTTGAATAATGCTTTCAGGCACGTGGTGTGATTTTTGGTGCTGTTCTGTGCAGGGCCAGGAGCTGGACTCCATGATTCTTGTGACACCCTTCCAACTCAGGATACTCCATGATTCCATGATTCTACAAACCCAAACCCAGAAATTAATTAATAGAAACGACTTGGCTGATTCTGAGCAAGACTTGGATATTTGCAATGATTCCACGATTCTGTACAAGCTGCTCTTTATTGAAATGTTCTTGTTTTCATTTGTTCCACTCAGGACACGTTACTAGGATGGAAGAGGAATAGGACAGCAGGGGGGGAAGAAGGAGAAAGATTATTTGATGGTATAAATAAAGATGTGGGGCAGCAATGCCAACCCTGAAAAGGGGCCTCTCATCATGGAAAAATGAGACTTCTTCCAGCTCGCGTCAAACAAAGATGCCTTCAGCTCCAGAGGGGACAACTTCGCCCCAGCCCAGCCCGAGCCGCGTCGGAGCGGAGGGGAGGGGACCCTGCCAGGACTCGGTAGACCCACAGTGACTCTGCGTGGATGTTCGGAGCTACTGCAAACGCGATTCTGCCCGATTTTGGAGGAGGAGGAAGAACTCAGAGGGCAGTTCCAGACGGCTGGGGAATAGCGGGACTGGGCTGGAGACGCCTCCGCTGCTCCTCCCGCTCCCTCATCTCGCACATCCCAGCACCCAGAGCCGGGAGCCACCCTCCAGCCGGGGATGCGGGAGCCTTCCCGACACCGGCCACTCCATCAAGTCCTGTCTCCTCACGCTGCAGACGGATCTGGGGGAAAAGTTTTGATGACCTTATTTTCCAGGTAGGCAGACTTTTTCACTCCGAGTACAAGGGGTTCTGTGGCTACTTACTGACGCGGCTCCAGCTAGGAAGAACAGAAATCCCTCTGAAATTTCAGCCTGTGTACGCTCCTGCTTACCGGCTTTACAGCAAAGTGTCTATTTCACGTTTAAACAGTACCTGCTATAAGAGAATATGAATTTTTCCTTTACTTTCAGCTCTTGGCTAGTTTGGGCGTTTTCCCAAAGTTTTGGTTTTTTCCAGGTGTAAGTAGTGTGGGCCACAAACTTCCAGGGCCACAGGTCTAGAAAATCCCTCAGTGGAGAGGATGGATTTGTTGAACCAGTCTTCCTTGAGGTAACTGAGCTGAGTTCAGCAGCTACAGTGAAATGGTAGCAGCAGGGCAAAGAACTGCTCTGCCACATGATTTCCCCTTGATTTCTGGGATTTCAGAAGATACAATTTAGACTCACCTAATAGGTCCTTGTCTCCTATTTATGCTAAATTACATCAGCACAAGCTCCTCTATTTTGGGAGGTGGCAGGTCATTTAGGAATGCCTGTGAATTTGTTGCACTTGGTGGCAGGGGTTTGCTCCCCCTAGCCTTCCTGCAACCTGGGCTTTCCTTAGCTGAAATCCCAGGATAATTACATTGGGAGACCTGGAGAAGGTCTGGAATCCCTGTAGCTGAAACCTTTCCCCTGGGTGCTCTGCCCAGGGATTAATATTACAAGGCACGTTTGGGTAGTGGCTGCAACCACCACTGAAATTCCCTCCTCATGCAGCGTGCAATCCATAGGCACACAAACGGGAAGGAAGAGGAGGTGCATTTAGAAGAGTTGTTCCAAATGGGACATATTTTTCTTTTCTAGTTTCATTTATCAAACGTTTGAATAGACAAAATGCTGCATGCACAAGTAACTGACACCACAGGCACTGCCTATTGGGCATGGCCATGGAAAATGCTGGGGCTGAGCAGCAGGGAAGCTTCAAACTTTATTCTGCATATTTCAGCACAGCAAGCATAACTCTCCTTTCTTGAGAGTAATGCAATTTGTGTGCCTTTAATTTTATGTGGCTTTAGATAAGTTCCTTGAAAGCAGTGTTAGCTTAGAGAGCAGGGCATCTCGATCTTTGCAAATTTGGGAAACAGTTTGCTCAGTTACAATGGGTGTTCTGGTGTTGGAGGAGACATACACAGTGCACCAGGGGGAACTTCAGGAATATCAATGTGTGGGATAAGGCAGACCATGACTCTATCTGTCCAGGTGCATGAGCTGACATTTCTACGGCATTGAGATCTGCTCTAAGTGATAATCAGACATGAGAGCACAAATAACCAGATAGAATTTGCACATTTGAACAACTGCAATTAAATTCTTTGCCGTAATATCACCTTTGGTTCAGTTGCTTGTGCTGGGAAGAGAAGCAAGGAGAGAACTTAGGTCCTCCTGCAAGGCCACTCTTTTTGCAGGGCTCTGTCTAGGTAAGTCCATATATTTTTCGGTTATGTGTGTAACAGCCAGATTACCTGAGATCTCCATGTGGGAGCAGCAAAGACCATGCATTTTTCTGCACCTGAGGTAGGCGCACAGACCCTCATTCAGGGAGAATAGTGCAAAATAGTGCCCCCAAAAAATTCCCTGTTGTTTTTCCCTTGTGTGAATCTCATGGGGAAAGAGGTGATACACTCTAAAATACAAATATTGAGAGAAGGCCTCACAGGAACAAAGGTCTTTCTCTGGCAGAGACATAAGTGTCAAGGAAGAACAGGATGGGCAGACCCAAGCATTCAGGCATTATAAATCAGCTCCCAATTTGCTCTTTGCATTAGTTTTTTGAACTGTTTGTATTCAAAAATTGCCTACAACATGCAGAAAACAGTTAAATCTGAAGTACTGGTGAAATATGAGGTTTCCAGTGCAGTATCTTGCAGCGGCAGGTGGGACTTTAAGTCAACTATTATGGGGTTTGCAACATCATCACAACAGCTGGTGGTGCTCTGAGGATGACAAAATGGGCAGCATTGCCCACCCCAGCCTTGGAAGCCCCTGAGGTGGGGACTGGAGCTCCCAGAAGCACCCCCATCATGTGTTGGGGGGTCAATACCAGGTGGGATGCTGGGAGAGCGGGAGACTGACATTGCTTAGGGTACAGAGTGGAATAGAGGAGGCAGTGCAAGAGGACCCCAGGGAAGTGAGTTGAGTCTTGTGTTTTCAGGAATCACTTTCCTGCCTTGCTGCTCTGCCAATGGAGTATCCAAGGCCGTGGTGCTTCACTGACCCAGTCCCAGGCCCCAAGAGCTGTGGGCAGGAGCCATCCTGTGCCAGAGCTGGTCTGGGTTGCCCATGCAGGCCAACTTCTCTGCTTTACAGTGCCTTCCCACCCACACACACAGAGGGAAAGAAGGAGGGAGAGAGGGAGGTGGTTAAACTCAGGATGCAATGATGAGTCAGACACTTGGCCAAAGCCCTGAGTGCTCCCAGTGTCTCCAAAATGTCTCCATCTTCCTCAGCTAAAGGCATGCTCTAAAATGGTGCTGAAAACTCAAAGCTGTTGTGTCCTAGAAAAGATCAGGATCTCCTGCAGCCCTGTTTTTTGAAAGGCAAACAAAACAAGGAAAGCCTGCAGTAGACTTAGAGGGGTGAAATCTTAACTAAAGCACCCCTTTAGCATGAAAGTGTTTTATCCTGACCATACCACTTTTATTCTCTGCGGCACAATGGAAGAAGTTGAGCCACACTGACTTGTGCAAGGACTTCATAGAATCATAGAATGGTTTGGGCCAGAAGGGACTTGAAAGACCATTCCATCCCACTCCTTGCCATGGGCAGGGGCACCTTACACTAGACCAGATTTCCCCAAGCCCCAGTGTCCAACTGGGTCTTGGATACTTCTAGGGATCCAGGGGCAGTCACAGCTTCTGTAGGCAACATGTACCAGGGCCACCCCACCCTCACAGGAAACAGTTTCCTCCCAATTCACTACATAACCCTGCCCTCTGGCAATGGGAAGCCATTTGTCCTATCAGTGTCCATCCTTGTCCTATCACTCCAGGCTCTTGTCCAAAGTCCCTCTTCAGCTCTTCCGTTGCCCCTTTTGGTACTGGCAGGTGCTGTAAAGCCACCCCAGACCCTTTTCTTTTCTAGGCTGAGCAATCTCAATTCTTTCATAAGCACAAGCTCTAGTGAGGAGGAAGGCTGTCACTGTTGTAGGGTCTCAGCAGCACTGACACCAACCTTTCCAGCATAGAGCAGTCTGCAGAAGCCTGTGGTACACTGCAGCTGGCACAGTAAACTGAGACAGGGTATTTCCTACCAGGCATGAGCTGGGGCACCACATGGAGAGAGGTCTCAAGGGATGCCAAGGAGGGCTGAGTTGTGTGTATTCTTCAGTAGTGCTGTTCCTGTGGCAGCAACCCAGCTGCACTGATCACTTGCCCTCCCCCTGCATTGCCAGTGACACCAAAGGCATGCTCAGTGTCCCTTCAAAGCTTGGACTCTTCCAAAAGTTACCCCAAAAAAAAATTGAAGAAAGAAGCTCTCCTTTTTGATTGGATTCAGGTCTTGTTTCCATAACAGACATCCCATATGCCCCTTTTTTGTTAGTGGTGAGTTGAGCACCATGCAGAGAAGCATCTCTGGGCTACCACAGGGCTATGTTGGTTGGTTCTGGGGTCCTCTAGACACTAAGGTTCATCTCCCCTTCCTCCACATTCCATGCTGCTGACAAGTGTTGCTTGAGTGTTGCCTGAGAATATCTTTTCAAATCCTGTGTTCCTTTGAACACTTCTATACATTGCTAAGAACTTTGCAGACTAGATTTCTAACTCTTCTGCTGCTTTAAGTTGTCGTAACACTACATGAAATAAACTCCCTGGAGGCCTGGTGATGGGTGGCACTGAAGGTGTGCATTTCTTCAAGAGGTTTTCTATTTGTCCTTTCACTCCATGGGTATACAAGGAGCATTGGCTGGCATTATGTCATACCAACAGAGTCAGGTGATTGTGTATCATGTTTAACATGTAACTTGTGTTTTTCCACAGACATCTGATTATCCTGAGGGGCTGCTGAGATGTTCCAACAAGCCTTGTTTCCCACTCTTCTTTGTGTGGCTCTAGTTCCTCTCCATGCTGCTCAGCTTGATGTGGATGTTGATGTCAGTCCTACTTCTTGTGCAGGTATTAACCAAATAATTTAGGTCACCTTTGTGGGCAGCAATTTTAACAAAAACATTGCTCAGTTGTAGAACCTGCTTGTCAGGGACTGACAGTGGGACATTCCACCTCCCCAAGCTCTTTGCACTCCTGTGGTAACAACCCATCTGTGGGGAGCACCGTCCTCCACCCAAACTCACATTTCCAGGTTTGCTTTGGTGTGCAGAGAGATGGAGATGGAAGAGCTGGGGTCTGCCAGTGGTGGTCTCTCCCAGCAGGTGCAGTAACAAACACCAGTCAGTCTCTAGCACTCAGCTCTCTAACAGATGCCAGAAAATTGTTCACTTTAAATCTGGTGATTTCCTCACTTTTCAGTTACAATGCAGAGGTGATTCATGGTTCCAGCCTGACTCTTACCAAAAAAAGCAACGTTTTCAAGATAGATTCAGTACAAAGCAGTGCTGGATTAATGGCTGGACACAATGATCTTAGAGATCTTTTCCAAACTTAATTATTCGGTAATTCTATAGCAGATCTTAGGAGTTAGAAGTCCTGGTCACTGGGGAACCATCTGACCCAAACAAAAGTGTCACTTCTAGAACTAGGTGGGACTTATGCTTCTTCTGGCAACACACTTGGTCTGGGTGTCCGGGGGACAGCGAAGTGGTGCATGAAGTGCTCTGATATTGTCTGAATAAATGTCCCCATGCAGAAAAGAGGAACTGTCCCATCAATGTCTACTTCATCATTGACACCTCGGAGAGCGTGGCTCTGCAGACTGTGCCCATCCAGAGCCTTGTGGACCAAATAAAGCGATTCATCCCCATGTTCATTGATAAACTGGAGAGCGAGCTCTACCAGAATCGAGTCTACATCACCTGGCAGTTTGGTGGGCTCCATTACTCAGACGTGGTAGAAATTTACAGCCCTTTGACAAGCAGCAAAGACATTTACCTGCCCAGGCTGTCTGCCATCAAGTACCTGGGCCGGGGCACCTTCACGGACTGTGCGATTTCCAACATGACCCAGCAGATCCAGACCCAGATGGCTAACGGCGTGAACTTCGCAGTGGTCATCACTGACGGCCACGTGACAGGCAACCCCTGCGGGGGGATGAAGATGCAGGCTGAGAGGGCACGAGACATGGGCATCAAGCTGTTTGCGGTGGCCCCCAGCGAGAAGGTGTACGAGCAGGGCCTGCGGGAGATCGCCAACCTGCCGCATGAGCTCTACCGCAACAACTACGCAATCACCCAGAGAGATACCCTGGAGATCGACATCAACACCATTGACAGGATCATTCAGGCTATGGTAGGTGCAGGGAGGGGAGTGGGGGGCATAAGAGGAACAGGTGCTTTCCCGTCTGTTTGGTTTGGGATATAACCTCTAGTAGGGAAGGTGGAGCCTTTTTCTGGTATTTAGCTAGGGCCCTTTGGTTTGTGCCTCCATTTCCCAGCATGTCTGGGCAGGCTGCCACCCTAGTCCTCTTGCTGAAGACCAAGCCATACCCCAGCCTGCTCCCTGGGTAATGTGGAAGAGTGTGCTGCACTGAGATAGTGCTCACCATCAGTGTGATCTTTCAGACCCCAGCTGTGAGATGCTGTTAATCAGGGGGTCTCCCGAGGGCATCTTTACAGCCAGGGGACCTTTACCACCTCCTCTCCCTTACCATCACACACCCCTCCAAGGGTGGGCTCCTGCCTCTCCCGTGGGACTGAGCACCTTAACTGATCTTCTTCCTCCTGTTCTCTCATTTGCAGAAACACGAAGCCTACGGGGAGGTGAGTGAGCAGCATCTTCATGCCTTTGCCACACGACACAGGTTTAAGCTGCCCCTGTTAGAGAAGACCAGCTCACACCCCAGAAGAGCATGGACCTGTGTGGGATGGGTCCCTTCCCACCTATGGATCAGGGCAGACATTCCCTTATCCAAGGGTTATAATGGCACTCTGGACTCACTCCCTGCCTCCCCCTCACCTGCATGGGTTCTGGTCTATGGAATAGACTCATTTCATCACTTTGGAGGACATTCCCTAAGTGCTGCCCTGGCTGAAGCTTCTGCCCTGCTGGTATCGCAGGGGCAGGGCTTGGCAAACAAAGGGAGGATTATGCAGGGGATGCACCGAAGAACATGCCAGTTGCATGATGACCACAGATGCCCACAAGCCCCCACCACTTCTGACACTTGGCAGTTTTGTTCTTTCATTCTGGGCCCAGAGCCAAGCTATAATGAACATGCTCATGGCAACTTTCCACTCTTAATTGATGGGCAGCACTTCTCTGTGTGATTGTTTCTGCCTCAGCCCTGACCCAATAGATTTTAGCCCTGAGTTCATGGGGAGAGACACGTGCAGAGCCATGGGTGCAGAGCTGAGCTGAGTTGAGGATGCACACTGTCAGTACCTCAGTTTAATTTCTTGTATTTCAGTGCTACAAGATGAGTTGCCTGGAGATTGCAGGTCCACCTGGTCCCAAGGGATACCGAGGGCAGAAGGTAAGTTACTCTAAGCTGTGAGAAAAACAATAATGCTTCTGCCTGCCACTACCACTGCAGGATGCCCTAGACCTCACCTCACCTCAGCTGCCTTCTCAGGTAGCACCCAGGTGGGACATAACCCCCCAACATCTGTCTTGGCCCTGGGAGACACAGCCAGCACTGGTTTGCCCATGTCTGTGCCAAGGCTGATGCACTGCCTGCAGTGCAGAGAGACATCTGAGCACCTGAGGACACCAGGACTGAGGCGGCAGTTGTTGCTGAGTTCTGCACTCTCAGAGCAGAGCTCACACATTCACAGGGTGTCCCACTCTCCTGCTCTAGCTGTGTGCTCTGATTTCCCAGAAACTGCCACTTTCTCAATCAGCACCAAGCCTGGACTTATGCTGGGTTTTTCCTTTCCTTAGGGTGCAAAGGGGAACATGGGTGAGCCAGGTTCCCCTGGGCTGAAGGGACGACAGGTGAGTTGTGGAAAATCCTTCCCTCTGTCTGCTACATCTCTGATGACCTCAAGCTAACTCTCCCTGACTTCCTCCCTGAAGGGCGACCCAGGAATTGAAGGTCCAATCGGATACCCTGGTCCCAAGGTAAGAATCCCATAGACGGTGGCTGAGCTCTTTGCATTCCCTGATTTTTGGTAAAGCAAGGGGAGCTTTGCTTCTCCCTCTCACCTGCCCATTTCCCACCCCAGACCTCTACCCTCAACTCCTGCTGATTGCCCAGGCACTAACACAGCGATTTTGGTTTTTGTTTGTATTGTATTTTTTTTGTCCATTTTTTGTAATTAATTTGTATTGTATTCCTTTGTCCAGGGTGTCCCAGGGCTGAAAGGAGAGAAGGTGAGAGAGATGGAATGGCTGGCTGAGCACTTGGCAGGGGCCACACTCCTTTCTGATGTGAAGAGGAGAAATTAGCTGTGATGGGGAAGGATAACAACCCTATTAACATGTAATTGTGGACCTGGGGAGGAATTTCCAAGGGCATTGCAAAGCCTGTCTCCTCCTCCAGGCTTTGATCACGGTCTGGTGAAGAGAGAATGGGTTCAGGATGTAAATGAAGGGCGAGAGGGAGGCAGGAGTGAGGTGGGATTGAGATGCAGGCAGTGTCTGACTTACTGTCCTTTTCTTCTCCCAGGGAGAAATTGGATCTGATGGACGGAGGGTAAGAAAGAACATTCTCTAACTTGCACGTTGTTTCAGCTCCCAAACCCTTGGACTGTGTATTAATATATCCTTCTTCTTTTTCCACCCCCTCCTCACCCCATGATCCAAGGGTGCCCCTGGCTTGGCAGGAAGGAACGGCACAGATGGACAGAAGGTAACTGGGAGCACTGGGAGCACCCCATAATGTCAGTGCTGGTGTTCCGTTTCTTTACCCTCTCTCATCCCCACAGGTTGTTTAGTTTCTACTATCCCACATGCTGGCTTTCTATTTCAACTGATGTTTCTGTGAACTTATCTGTACATTATTCTGCATGTCCCATAGAAATGCATGAAGTAATCCAGGTCACAGGAATGAATCTCAGAATATGCCGAGTTGGAAGGGACCCAAAAAAATCAAGTCCAACTCACACAGGATACCCCAACAATTCCACTCTGTGCCTGAGAGCGTTATCCAAACTCTCCTTGAGCTGTAGTGGGACTGGGGCTGTGACCACTCCCTGGCAGCCTGTCCAGTGCCCCACCACTCCCTGGGGGAAGAACCTTTTCCTAATATCCAGACTAAATCCCACACACAGCTCCATGCCATTTAGTGCTGTCCTTCTGTCAGCAAGCTCTATCCAGTGATCTGGTCTGTGCTCCTGCTGAGAAGGTGATAAGGCCAGATAATCTGATACCTTATCCTGAGTATTAGTGAGCCCTACAGGACATGGACACAGAGAGCTTCACAGAAATTTGGGTTTCAGGGCAGTTTGTCACTTCATCTGTAAGCCACAGCTTGTACTTAGCATTAAAGCCCTAAAGCCAAATTCAAAGGCCTCACAGCAAAGTCCTTGGCTTTGTCCAAAGCCAGCACACCCTGGCTTTGCAGAGTTTCCTATACCCAGCCCAGTGTATCTGAAAAATTACAGTTCTTCCCAATCCTCAAGTGCTGCTGAAGCTCTAAAACATCCTTCAGTCCCCTCCACTCTCTAAAACACTAAAGCCCTTCTCAGGGCTGTCTCTCAGCTGTCTCAGCACTGGTCACAGAGCTGTTTCAGGACACAGAGCAAGGCAGTCCCTTCTCTCACAGCATCTGTTAGGCAGAGTGGTTGCTGCACACCTGACCTGCTCTGACAGGAGAGCCATGAGAGAGGACTAGCACAACCCTGGACGTGAGTGGCTGACAAATCCAGCCTCAAGGGACATTCCCATCTCTCAGGGATGAGCCTGCCTGATTTCCTTTAGTCTGCTTTCCTCTCCACTTTTGCCCCTGTTTTAAGGAGTACACTTGCTATTTATTCTCTAGCTGGTGGCAGATTAGGTCAGTGGATGATGATATTATTAGATGTCAACAAGAAAAGCTGTGTTTTCCCTTCAGCCACCTATAATTTCTCATTTTTTTCCTTTGAATGTAATCTCTCCAGGGCCGGCTGGGGAGAATTGGACCACCAGGATGCAAGGGTGACCCTGGTGACAAGGTAGGAACACTTTACTCTTTCACCAGCACATCTGTTGTGTAGCTGTTGAGTAAGGTACATATGTAGAAAGATGACCAACAAGAGGTTATTTACCCATTTTCCTACTAGGGGTATAATCTGATCCCAGACCCAGGATCCATGGAATGGGGACCACAGTTTGATTCTTCTTTGCCTCCTTTTCATGGACAAGGAAGCTGGGAGCCCCCAGTGTTCCTCCCCTCCACATAGAGAGAAGGAATTGCCCCTTTCATCGACATTAGCAACAAGCAAAAACTACTTTAGCCTCTAGAGCACTAGCTTAGAAATGTTATTTGATAAGAAAGTTTAATTTTATTTATTCTGCATGGAAAGTATTCGCAATGTGAAGTGTGTGGTTCTTTGTTGTTTCCCTCCCCAGGGCCCTGATGGCTACCCAGGAGATGCAGGAGACCAAGGAGAAAGGGGAGATGCAGGCATAAAGGTACAAGTGCTCTGCACAGGCAGCGGGATGTGGGCAGAAGGTGCCAGTGGGGACAGCTCAACACCATTCCCCATGTTTTTATATATATATATATATTATTAATTGTTAGCTGCTTATGGAGCTGTCGTGGTTTTAAAGGGTGGTGTTCACAGGTTGATCTCACTTTTCAATGGTCAAAACTACTGTCAATTCTCAGAAATGGCCAGTTATTGGCAAGAAGAACAAACTCCCATCAGCCTCCAGCAGCCTTAACTTCCTTAGCTGTTTCCCTTTTTTTTTTTTAAATGCCAATCTATCACAGGAGCCCATAGGCTTTGGGGTCTGGATCCCATCACCAGGCACAGGAGCTGAGGGCAGGACCTTGCTGGCCTTGCTGCTTGGGCTAATCATCGTGCAATGTGCTGGTGAGGCAGGCAATGACCATTGGCTCTCTGGCTGTTTCAGGGGGATCCTGGACGGCCTGGTCGCAGTGGACCCCTGGGGCCCCCAGGGGAAAAAGGAAGCCCGGTAGGTTCATGCGGCATCCTGATGTCTCCGGTGTTTTACTGTGGTCTGTTCATAAAATCACAAAATGGTTTGGGCTGCAAGAGACCTTAAAGTTCATCCAGTCCCACCGTCTGCCATAGACAAGCACACCTTCCACTATCTCAGGTTGCTCCAAGCCCTGTCCACCCTAGTCTGGGACAATTCCAGGGATCCAGGGGCCACAGCCACAGCCCCTCTGGCTTTGGACAGGACTGGCCAGATGCTGTAAGGAACAGTTGATAAACCTGTTGTCAGCTGATGGAGGGAAGGTGACACAGAATCACTCTGCTCCAAGGCTGGAGCCCCTGCTCATGCCAGTGCCATGTGGGCATGCCGGATGCATGGAAGTGGAACCTGGGTGCTCATACACTTCTGCTCAACACAGGATAAAAATGGGGGGGATGTGCACACCCTCTGCCCTCTCTTCCCACAAACTGTATTTCTTTTTTGTCTCCAAGGGACTTCCAGGCAACCCTGGAGCTCAAGGGCCTGCTGGAACCAAGGGGGGGAGAGGTGAAGTGGGACCTCCTGGACCCAAAGGAGAGGCTGTAAGTGGCTGAATAGATCCCTGGACACTGGACACACCACAGGAACCTGAAGCAGTTTCATGGATGAGTGCTGAGAAACTCCCCAGTTCTGCTTTGTGCATCCCAAAAGATGTGCAGATGGCTGATCTCCTTGTCTCTCCCATCCTCACAGAGCAGAACTCCCATAATCCTAAGCCTGATGTAAACCATTCACCTTAGAGAAGCATCCTGTGTTCCCACATAACCACACAGGCCTGGCCTCTCTGGATGCCCAGGGACACTTTGGTTGTACTCTGGCAAGTTCCCCAAACCTCTGGCTCCTTGCAGGAGCTCAGTCAGGATCTGGTGGCCATCATGGCAGAGCTCTGTGAAACGGGCAGGATCACAAATCAGTGGTGCCACAGACACTCTAGTTAATATAATGGGGCACTGCAAATTTTGGGGATGTGACGCTGCTCTTGGCTGCACCGGAGCTCCGGGCTAGCTCTACGGTGCCACTCTGGCACGGGCAGTCGCCAGGAGTGGGGAACTTTAGGGGAAAGGTGATCCCATTGCAGAACCTTCAGAGCACCGACTCCTGCCGGGCTCTGCCAAATCAGGCCTCATGGGTGATGGTAAAAGGAAGGAGGAGACCCACTCGGCTGTACTTCCCAGGAACAGGTTTATTCGGGAGAGGGGATGAGCACAAGGGTCTGGGCTGGGAGAATTCAGGACCGAAGACAGCCCAGAGCACCCCTGTGCACGGGGTTTTATCTCAGGGGCAGGCACAGTCTAGGGTCCAATGGGAGCTCACGGAGGGAGGGGTAAGGGGAGGAGGTTACAATGTCAGGGACCAATGGGGATACAAAGAAGGCGGGAACATAACATAACAACCAATAACGTGCCGAGGAAGGGATAATATACATGGAAGGAGCTGTAAGGAGAGGTGGGGTTTATGATGATGGATGGGGAGATGGGGCAGGGTAAAGGTGATTGACAGGGAACATTCAGGAAAACTGGGAGGGGTTTACATAACAGATAAATGGAACCAACCAAAGCAGTAAATGGGGGAGAACCAGGAACATACAAAACAGATGAAATACTAACAATTTTAACAGAACTGAATAAAAATACTACAACAGGGATGGGTTGGAGAGGATGATCCCTGGCACAGCTCCACCAGCACCATGGAGCCAGAATCCAGCCAGCCTGTATCCTTGTGCAAGATCCAGTGGAGAAAGCAACACTGGATGAGCTGGAAGTAAATCATAGTCTTTAACCCTGAGGGAATGAACCAGACGTGCTTGTGGTCACTGTGGTGGAACAACAGTCTGGCTGTGGCTTCCCAAAAGGAAGTATGGGCATCCCTGCTCTCCTGCTGCTGGGAACGCACTTGCTTAGGGGGCAGGTGTACATCTCTTGGGCCCAGAGGGAGGAGGGAGGACAGCCAGGAGCCACTGCCCAGGTGACATCCATTCTCTCACCCCATTTATGTGACTTCTGTGTCTGCTAAGGGGCGACGTGGAGATCCAGGGACAAAAGGCAGCAAAGGCTCTCCTGGAGGCATAGGAGAAAGGGTGAGTAAAGCAACTACACAGATTATTGCAAATGAGCCCAAAATAGACAGGACTGGGGTGTGTGTGTGATGTGCTAAGGCCCAGCCATGCAGTGTCCATGCAGCACCAGAGGTGAGAACGCAGATCCCACTGTGCTGTGCTCCCACTGGCACCAGGTACAGCCTTCTTCTCCAGGGTTTGGTCCAGAGAGGGGACGAAGGGCAGTAAAGCTCAAGGCTGAGAGACACATTCAGAGGGCACACTGCCCTGACACTGTTTGAAACCAAGAAACACCAGGTTTGAGAAGGGCATCATGGAGCATTGCCATGCACACAGATAACATTGGAGACATCCCTGACCAGGAATATCTTTCCCTTCTTACAGGGAGATCCTGGTCCAGAGGGTATTCGTGGTCTGCCCGGTGAGGTTGGAAACAAAGGAGCTAGGGTAAGCATGGAGCAAGGTTTGGTGACAGCCAGGAGGAAGGGGAAGGGAGTGCCCTGGTGTAATCCAGGGCAGCTTGCCCAGCTTTCCTCATGTACTGTGTTCTTGTGTCTTTCTTTGCTGTGCAGGGAGAACAAGGACTGCCAGGACCTCGAGGCCCTTCTGGTGCTGTGGGAGAGCCAGGCAGGATAGTAAGTCACACTTGGGCTTGTGTGTGACCATGCCCTCCTTCTGTGGTGAGAGCTTGCCCTGCTGACACAGGCAAGCTGCCTGCACTGTCCCTCCCAAAGAGAACCTGCATGACCTTCTCTCAGTGAGGCTCAAAAATTGTGTATTCTCATGATGATGTGGAAGGGATCTCTGGAGAAGGTGGGTCACTGGGGAGAGGGAAGATGGGACTCCACAAGCACCTATTTGTCCTGCATCTGTGGTTAGTCCATCAATGCCACTGTGGCAGTAGTGCTGTGACATCCAGGTGGCTCTATGGGACATGGGAACCCCACTGCTTAGACAGTCACTGCCACAGTGAGCTCACCACGAAAGGAGATGATCCTGCAGCACCATCTCAAGAGCTGGTTTCTCCAGCACAGTCCCGTGTGGGCAGCAGGGAACATCCTCACTCACTCACTGCCTTCTCTCCAAATCTGTCCTGCAGGGATCACGTGGGGACCCTGGTGACTTGGGCCCAAGAGGTGATGCTGGACCACCAGGACCAAAGGTAAAGTTCATGAATTAACCTCTACATTTGAAAAGGTGGATTTATGTTCCTATTCACTTATTTATTAAAAAAAACCAAAACAAACAAACAAAAAAAACACCCAAAAAACAATGAAAAAAAGCAGCTTTCACAGCAGAAACTTGTGTGCCTAAAAAACAGAATCAGACCTGTCCCTATGGGGCAGAGATATAGGTCTTGCTCTGGCCAAGGCAGCTCTGATTACATTCTTCACCCTGAGCAAACTCAGGGGCATCCCTGGCACATGACATCCCCAAGACCCTGCAAATCCTTGCTCTGCAAAGCAGTTCCCAGTGCTTCAGGGCCAGCTGCAGAAGCCTTGGCTCCTGGTGGTGTCTCACCCCCAGAGAAGATGAAAATGGCTGTTACTGTCACAGACAGGAACAGGTCAGAAGGGCCAGGTTCGGTATCTCACGGGTCTTTTTTTCCTACCAAAGGGTGACAGAGGCAGGCCTGGTTTTAGCTACCCTGGACCCAGAGGACCTCAGGTATGTATTCCTCATCCAGCATGTGAGGAAATCTGAGTGGATGTTTCTCAGATCTGAGCAGACTGAGAAAACAGGGAAGGAGGAAGAAAAATGCAGATATGTGGAGCCTGTGAAGGATAAGGGGGGTTGAACACCAGGAGTGAACCTGGTCACGGTCCATCAGGTGCTGGGGATCCCAGCTCCAATCATGGTGATGGTCCCTCAAGCATCAGCCTGAAGCTACAGCTGCTCTTCAGCTTCATGCTCCTCGCTGCAGTCTTTGGGTGTATGGGTGCACAGTGTGAGGCCAGTCCTGGACAGCTGCTGACCTCTCTCTGCTCTCCTTTTGCAGGGTGACAAGGGTGAGAAGGGGCAGCCAGGACCCAAGGTGAGTGTGCTTGTCTCCATCACCTGTTTTTTTGTACTGACTGAATGCCAAGGAGTTGTGTCCCAGCCCCCTGGGTTAATGGCTGAAGAGCCAGCCGTGCCAGCAGCTGCCCTGGGTACTTCCTGCAGCTGGAGCTTGGTTATATCTCTCAAGCCCATCTCCTTTTGAAATCATATGAAAAATATGCTGCAGAACTTCCGGGGTATTTTTTGGGTAATGCCTGTATAAACACTGTTTTCTGTGCTCTGAGCTGCTGGCTTAGAGGATGCTCTCCCAGGTCAGGCAGGCATGTGTGTGTGATGCAGCCTCTGCCTGAGCACATCCAGATGTGCTCCATGCTGGATCTGTTTCTCCTTCCATTGAACAGGGAGGACGGGGTGAGCTTGGACCAAAAGGAGTACAAGGGACCAAAGGAGAGAAGGGGGAGCCGGTAAGCAGACTCCCTGTACTGCCCCAAGGTCAGTGTCTCCCTCCCACATCCTTGCCACGTGCACTGGGCATGACACTGCCGCTCTTTGTCTGGTCCCTGTCCCCAAGCTCATCTGTGGCAGCCTGGTGACTGTCCTTAGCAGGGCTGGGGCTGATCAGGGGATCAGGAGGGGCCCTGAACTCCTGGGGTTGCATTACCAACATTACCCAGGAAGTATTTAACCTTTCTTTACATCTTCCCCAGGGTGATCCTGGCCCAGGAGGAGAGCCTGGACAGCGTGGTCCACCTGGTGAAGCAGGCCCAGAGGTACAGTCCCACAGTGTCTGAGGAGATGCTGTTGGAGGGGACACAGCTTCCAGATGTGTCCACTGGCTCACAGTGGGCCTTCCCCTTCAGAAAGCCACATTTTTGATGGCTCTGACATCTAGTTCCCAGAAAAAGAATTCTTGGGAAAACTGTGCCTGAAATCCCTGTATTCTTTTTACAGGGAACCCCTGGCCCACCAGGAGACCCCGGTCTGACTGTAAGTAACCCCTGCTACTCATCCTCCTGGGGCAATCATGGCTTTTCTGTGCACAGCTCAAGAACGAAACAGGACATCAGGTCCTGCTGCTGCCTGGCAGAGGTGGCCTGTGGCTTCCCACAGGAGCCAGGGAAATAGGGGAGAGGGGAGGCTGGGCAGGAAGGGAAAGGGGAGTACTTAGCTTAGAGAGAAGCACTGATCCTGCAACCCTGTCCTGGCAGGACTGTGACGTGATGACCTACGTGCGAGAGACGTGCGGATGCTGTGGTGAGCTGACATCACCTCTCCCGGGGAAGGAGAACAACTGCTTGAGGGATAGGGAAAGGGGGTCACCAGAACCTTCCTAGCATCACTTACCCCTTTGTTTCCCTCCCTTGCTCCTCTCCCCAGACTGTGAGAAACGCTGCGGTGCCCTGGACATCATGTTTGTCATAGATAGCTCCGAGAGTATCGGATACACCAACTTCACCCTGGAGAAGAATTTTGTTGTCAACGTGGTCAGCAGGCTGGGCTCTATTGCCAAGGACCCCAAATCACAGACAGGTCTGGACTCTGAGGGGACACAGTGGGGCACGGGGAAAAGAAAAGAGTCTTGGAACTTTTCAACCTCAATGGTTGTTTTCCATTGCTTTTCAGTTGGGCAACTCTTTGACTCTCTCCACTTTTCCCCAAGGATGGAAAGCCAAGTAATATGACACTTTCTTGGCAGGTGCCCGTGTTGGGGTGGTGCAGTACAGTCACGAGGGGACTTTTGAAGCCATCAAGCTTGATGATGAGCGCATCAATTCCCTGTCAAGCTTCAAGGAAGCGGTGAAGCGCCTGGAGTGGATCGCTGGAGGCACCTGGACGCCGTCTGCCCTTCAGTTTGCCTACAACAAGCTCATCAAGGAAAGCAGGAGAAAGAAAGCCCAAGTGTTTGCTGTGGTGATCACAGACGGGCGCTACGACCCCCGGGATGATGATAAGAACCTTGGGGCTCTTTGTGGTAGAGATGTAGTGGTCAACACCATCGGCATTGGAGACATGTTCGACCAGCCAGAGCAGAGCGAGACCCTGGTCTCCATTGCCTGCAATGAACCCCAGCGAGTCCAGAAGATGAGGCTCTTCTCAGACCTGGTGGCAGAGGAGTTCATTGACAAGATGGAGGACGTGCTCTGCCCAGGTCTGTCCCTGTCTATGTGTGGAACTGGAGTTTTGAGTCCTAGGGTTAGGGGTAGGGGGCAGAGATGTGTCCCAGCAGGTTGGTCAGCAGCTGGGTCATCCATGGTGGAGTCTGACCTTAGCCCTGAACTAAGAGTCCTTCCTTAGATACAGACCAACTTTTTGGGGCAGTCTTTTGGGGTTCCTTGTAAGAGACCTTGTCCTGCTACTCTGACTGTGCAAGCTGTGAAGGAGAATGGCAACACATGGCTCAGTTTTCCTTGTTTCTTTTCCTTCCAGATCCACAGGTTGTCTGCCCCGAGCTGCCCTGCCAGACAGGTAAACATTACAAGTAACTTAATGGATCTGCACAGACTCTGGGGGGAGACTGTGTGAAGCTCAGGAGTAGGAGAGGGGGGTGCAACCCTGTTCAATCCCTTTGCAAGGCAGGAGTTTGGGAAATAGTGTTACTTTATATGAGAAGAGGCTCCAGGGTTTCATCTCCTGCTCTTTTCCTCTCTCTCTGAGTTCCCTGCACAGGTAGGTACAAGTACACTGTGTGAGAATGGCACATCCACAGTATTCCTCCCTAGTCAAATTCCTGGGAGCCACCAGGTTTTGACCTCCAAACCCAAGTCATAATCCCTTTGCTAAACACCCATTCACATGACCTTTGAAGCAGGAGGCTCCTTGGGAGTGACTGGCAGAGCAGATGTTAGGAACCAGCTGGAAAATGGCAACATAGTGGACCCAAAGCTTTGGCTTCTCTAACGCTGGCTATATTTAATTAACAATTAACTCAAGGTGTTGTATTAAAGGAAAAGGCTGTAAGGATCCTCTCTCTGATGCTCTGTGTGCTGAAGGTAGCTTTACTGGGTCACATTTTTCTTGTTATGGGGCAGATGTGCATCCCAAATTCCTAGAGATCCTGTCTGAGTCCCTGTGTATGTTTAAATACTATAGATGCACTCTGTGCTGATACACAAAGTTTATAGAGGACCACAGTTTCGCCCGTTCTGCAATTTTTATCTTTCCTCTTGCCATGAATGTTTTTGTGGCAGTCCCCGGCTTCAACTGAGCCTTATACAGATTATCAAATTTCATTTTCACGTAAGTCCCTTTGTTTCCATGCAAAGGAAAGGAAAACTGGTTCCAGGATGCACAGAAATCCAGAGAAAATCTATAATTATTCCTGTCTGAAATTTCATGCTGATATTTACAGTATTTACACCTGGCCATGCTGGGGACACACAGTATCCAACTGTGATGCTGAGCTTCTCTGCTGCGTCTTCTGAGGAGCTTTGCCTGCAAATCTGTGCACAAGGAAGTGACATCCCCAGGCCACACTGGTGATTGCTCAGGTGTCTTCAAAGGTTTTGGTCTTTGCAGCCTTCCATTTCCAAGGAACAAAAGCAGTGGTGCACTCATTTCTCCTGGGCTTGGGCCATCAAAGCCCTCCGACACAAGGCAAAGTTGTCGGTCCTTTCCTCGTAGTGCAGCTGAGTGTTCCTGTTCCTGATGCAAAGTGAGAACAGTTCGCCAGTGCCTGGCAGCCCTGGGGGACCAGAACAGGAATGGCTTGAGGGGGTATCTGAGGGGGTTCCCTCTTCAGTGAATCCCATAAGCCATGCCATATACAAACCAGGCTAAGTGTAGGCAAGACCTGTGCCCCAGAGAACTTGGGAGATAGAGTAACATGGTGGTAAGGTTGGTTTCATCTCCTGTGAAAGTGGCCTTTCAGCATGGGCAAAAGTTCTTCTAGGTCTGGTAGATGAAATTTCAAGTAATAGGTTCAGGAGTCTTTGGGCAAGGAGCCTCCCACCCACCACAACTGATTGTCTGTGCTGCACTGCTGTCATTGTTTAGAAGGATTTGTAGTGGTCACACTTCCCTAATAGCAAGGGAACGTGTTGAATGGGATGGGACATACGACACATGTCAGAGCCTGAGACTTCTCTGGTTCTCACAGAACATCCCATGAGCTCATGCCAATTCCCATGCAGATCCTCTGGGTGGAGACGGTTCCCTTCAGAGGGAATGTGAGTGAGCCAGTGCACATCCAATGTGTGTGTAGTGGACTGGCCAGACAGACAGGTCAGGGAGGCAGCTAAACCAGTCCCGTTCTTGGCCCCATGGCTCAGCATGGTTGTTCTGGTACTTTGAGGGGCAAATCAGCTGCCCTAGCTTCAGCCTAGGTATTGTCAACAGAGCACAGGCAGGGAGAGGTACCACGTAAGCCCTGTCTTTACTCCATGCTGCCTCAGGACTTTACCTGAGATATTCCCATTTTCAGAACAGCCCCTTGTCTCTCATCAGTTACTGCTGTGCTAACAGGATGCTGGAGGGTTGAATCTGAACTAACCACTTGCTTTGTAGAAACCGCATGACATCTTGAGAGGCTCTTGCTAATTGATCCAAAAGGCTTTGCTTTGAGCTTTGGGCTTTTATTCAAAGTTAAATTCAGCACAGCCAGGCACAGATAAAGGCTCTCAGGGTCCTGACAAGCCCAGACACCACACGGCTTTGACTTGGAGTCACTTCCCTGAGGCTGAGTACCAGGCAAGGAGGTCACATAATGCTGTCCCCTTAGATGTCTTCCTGCCTTAAAGCATCATGTGCGCAGTTTGCACATAGCACAGTCCTAAGCTACATGATGGGTGAATCTCTTTGCAGAAGGGAGTGGCCTTTTTTCTGAGCTCTGCTCCTTCTCCATCGTGCCTATGCCAGATCAGTAGGAATCAGTCAGGATCAGAGATCACCTGGGGAGTTCAGATTCTGTGTAATTTTCTGGAGTCACTCAGTTAACACCTGAAAGATTTCAGAGCAAGTCTCATGATTCCTCCGACACAAATGGCAGAAAGATCTGCCATTTTAAAATCTGGCTTTGATCTTTACTTCTCTGTCCTTGTTGGCTCTGTTCTTTTCTGGTGCAGTGCAGGTAGGAAAGCCAGGTAGCTTTCAGAGACACAGCCATTGCTAGCAAGCTCTGAAAATATTCTTTTGACGCTCACTTGCAGATGACAGGAACCTTGGGAGCGTAAACCCAGTTATTTTCCGCCCCATGGAAGAGGGAGTCAACATAGATTTCCCCAGCACCATACATTCGATCGCCCAGTTCCTAAACTCCACGCGGGAATCCCAGGACCCCAGCATGTACACCCAGCTGGTGGCCACTTTGGCTTTTACCGCCGAAAAAGCCAAGTTTGCCACTGGAAATGAGCGGCAAGAGTGGATGGACTTGTTCATTGACACCTTCAAAATGGTGCACAGTGAGATTGTGGGGGACCCAGAGACTGTGCTAGGGCTGTGCTGAGACCTCTCTTGGGAGGCAGAGGCTGAGTGGAGGTAGAACTCATCACTCCTGTGTGGCAGAAGGGACAGCACAGGAGGAAACGCTTTTAGTTCAGGAGAGACAGAGGCAGTGGAATGGCTTGGTTGCACTCATCTGGGGACAGGATACAAGGAGCAGTTCCCTCCAGCTTGCCCAGCATGGTGGCTTTCCCCAGCAATGCCAAGGGATGCTCTTGCTCTGCCTGCTGCTTTTTTGCCAAGAGCCTAATGATGCATTTCCCCCACATCTTCCTGCATATGTCCTTGCTGACCCCCTCCAAAGCATCTTCTGCATCCTCTCTTTTGGTTAACACAGGTTCCCTCTGGGTCCCTTAAAGCTGACTAAGCAAGGTGCATCCCTGCTCACCACAATGTCTCTGTGGAATTCCTCATGGGCAGCTGGGGGTGTGGAGGGAAGAAGCAAGCAGGACAGGAGGGGGAGCAACCCTCCCTTTCCATTGTGAGCACTGACACCTGGGCAGTGCTTCTCTCAGAAGCTGTGTGGGCTCCCCTGGCCTTTTTCTCTGCTTGTCCATTTGTGTTTCCTCTGTCATAATCCAAAACATGTATCTGTCCACATACAAAAGGCAGATACTCTGTCACATAATACCAAATGGTCTAAAGAAAAACTCTTTGACTGAGTTGTTTAAAAGCAAGCTTGATGTAGTAGAGCTTACTCAATCCACGCCCAGTGCTGCTTTGTCTCAGAGACCACAGAGCCACCACCTCTGTGGTGTTTGGACAAGGCCTGGTATCTCCATCTGCTCAGCTTCCCCTGGTCTCACAAAGTCAGACAGGCGAGTGCCATTCCCACCTCCAGTTTAACTGCTCTCAAGCTCTATTTAGAAGTAGTGGGATTCATATGGACACACAGGGGTAGAAGCGCTTACTCTGACTGACATGGTATTATTGCAATAAAGTATACTGAACAAGTGTCATATTTAATGGGCAGAAGGGAGATGTGCCATCTTCAGGAATGTGGCTGTAATATTTCCAGATGTTCCCCCAAGGTAAAGGAAGTCATTGTTTAGAAATGCTGAAGCACTCTTTCCTCCCAGGACAAGTTGCTCAGAGTACTCTGCTACTTTCAATGTAGAATAGAGGGAAAAGAGTTCTGAGTGCTTTACTTGATGTGCTCTGTGTATTATGCGAAAGCAAAAAGATTAGCCTATGCCTGACTCTTGTCATAATTCACATATTCCACATAGTCTGTGCAAAGCCAAACTCCCTGTTCTGTTTTGATTTTTTATGGCAAAATTAGTATGACTTAGCCTGCTGGGATGCCGGACTGAACTCAGAGTAGCTAGGCTGCTCCGGCCATGATACCAGAGGAAAATCTCCCAAACTCCACTGATTTGAAAAGATCTCAGGGCTGGGACATTTTGCCAAACAAAGAGAGCTGGGGAGGATTTCAGCAAAGGGGTGTTGATTTTACTTAATTTCATCACACAGTGGCCATTTATTCCTAGCAAAACATTGGAAACAAAGTTTTTTACCCCACAAAAAGCTTCAGCTCTTTAGAGGTGGGGAGAGGGAGAATATGTCTCTTTGCATGAGGAGTATTTGTGCTTGTCCTTGTTAAAGGCAAGTGAGTGAAGGAGTGTTTCTTTAGCATAATCCCAGCTAGTGATAAAACCAGATGTATTTCATCACAGTAGCAGTTCCTTCAGTGAAACTATTGGGCAAAGGAAGCACAGATAAGGAGCTGGGTAAAGGATGGTCCACCCCTACCCAAAGGCACAGGATGGGCTGGGAAAGGGGGAAACCCCAAAAAGGTCTGGGAGGGCAGTCCCCACCTCACTTTCATCTCCACTGTCAACACTGCAAAAGAATAGAGGAAATACAAGTTCCTCAGGTTTTAGAAGAAGCAAGAAGGTGAAGTGAATGGGTGGGGTTGCTCTGCACACACTAATGTGGCAGAAAAATCAATGATATTTCTCCTTATTTGTGCTGCTTTCATTAGACATCCTCAGCTGTGAGTTACAGGTATTCATGATCCCCATAAGAAGGACCAATGCACAAGTTAAAAGCATGACAGGAAGATTTTAGTTCACCTAATTTGTGGTGGTGCCTTTGAGAGTTTCCCTCCCAGTTAGGATGAGAATCTTGCTGCAGGAAAGGGTGCTCGGGTCCTCAGTCTCTCAGAAATGGGAACAAGCTGCAACCAGAGCCTGACACTGAACAGGACAAACTCAAGGCTTTGCTGCCTCATATTCCCATGGGATAACTCTTATGTAAAGGCACCTTATCAAACAGCTGGAAGGCAGCCCTCTCCAGCTGTGAGGGCTGAGCAGCAAGCAGAATGTGACTCTGAGGAATGCTCCTGTCAGATGTACAGTGTGCTCTTGCTGAAGCTCCATGGAGTGATGCTGCCCTCTGCTTAGCCAGGAGCTCTTCAGGCTTGCTTGTCATCTCAAGAAACGTGTGGGCAGACCTAGGGGGAGGCTGTTAACACTGCCCCAATATGACACGCAGCCCCTGCTCCCAGCTGCTTTCACAGACCCTCACATAGGTGTTGGGTTGTGTGGCTGCAAGAGGGATTCCCTTCTGCTTTTCCCCCTTCACGGCTGCTCAGAGCAGGTGCTCCCAAGGCGAGGTAACCTTGTGGCAGCAGTGCCTGCATACCAGGAACTGCAGCATCAATGTGCCTTTACACAACATTTCTCATGCAAGATTGGTCAGAGGTGAGTATGTGCCTTTATTGCTTTAAAAGAGAGGAGGTAACAAGTGAGAGGACAAAAGGAAATGGCTTCAGGTTTCACCAGGGGAGATTTAGATTGGATATTAGGGGAAATTTCTTCACTGAAAGGGTGGTCATGCACTGAAACAGGCTGCCCAGGGAAACAGTAGAGTCATCGTCCATGAAAGTGTTCAAAAAATGTTATGTGGTGCTTAGGGATATGGTTTAGAGGTTAATACAACAGTGCTGAGCTAATAGTCACACTTGAGGATCTCAGAGGGTTTTTCTAACCATACAGAATCTGTGATTCCCTGATTCTGTGCTGAACACAGACATAGCACTGTTCAGCACTAGGGAAGCTCGTTCTCAAGCTGGATTTGCTCTGTAAATTCAATCTAACATTACACTCCTACCCTCAAAGTTATCCCCTGTTGCCAGAAATGGATGCTCAAGGTGGGGCTGCTCCAGAAGCTCCTATTCCTTTCCAGTCATGCAACAAACATGGCAGCATCTTTGGGACTTCACCCTTTTGAGATTCAGTCTCAGAGCCACAGAACCGCTTGAGAGTGCTATAGGCATTGCCCTGCTGCCAGCTCAGGGGGAACTCAGAGGAACACTGAATACAATGCATAGAACTACAGAAAAGGGAGGAAATAATGGTCCCTATCAGCTGACTCCAAAGATAGCTAGTTTCTTCTCCTTTTTGTTTCTTCCTGAGTTTATTCACTGCATATATTCATATATTCTATATGTTTGGACTGGGCTTGCAGCAACCTAGTAGTGGAAGGTGTCCCTGCCCATGGCAGGGGGGTGGAACAAGATGAGCATTAAGGTTCCCTCCAACCCAAACCATTCTGAGATTATCTGATTCTATGATTTTATGATAAGAGCAACTCTGACAGTAAACCACTCACCCAGAGTAACTGAGAGGTTTGCAGGTGTTGCTTGCCATTAATCTCTGGATATTCCCTTCACAAATAAGAGCTGGAAATTGAGGTAAGGCAGTGGATGTAATTCTGGGACTGAAATGCACAGACCTGTCTAATTTCATGAGGGTCTGTCATCAGTCCCAGAATTAACATTCTTTAAGTGCCCAGTAGCTGAGCCATCAAAAGCAAAAGCAAAAATCAAAAGCAAAGCTCCTACATTTCAAGTGGTAAAAACAGGCTTTGGCAGTGGGGTTGGGCTGGTCCTTCTTTGGACAAGGATGCACAGAGGCAACTCCAACCCAAATTATCCCGTAGTCTTCTCATTCTCCCAACTCCTGTCTTCTTCTTCTTCTCCCTGCAGAGCTTGCTGTAGCCCAGTGCACCCAGCGCCCTGTTGACATCATCTTCTTGCTGGACGGTTCGGAAAGAATTGGGGAGCAGAACTTCCAGAGCGCTCACCGCTTCGTGGAGGACGTGGCCCAGCAGCTGACACTGGCCCGGAGCAACAGTGACCAAATGAATGCTCGGATCGCACTGCTGCAGTATGGCAGTGAGCGGGACCAGAACGTGGTCTTCCCACTGACCCACAACCTTACTGAGATCTCTGATGCCCTGGCACAGATCAAGTACCTGGACTCATCCTCCAACATCGGGTCAGCCATCATCCACGCCATCAACAACATCGTGCTCAGCCCAGGCAATGGGCAGCGACTTGCCCGGCGCAATGCTGAGCTCTCCTTTGTCTTCATCACCGATGGCATCACAGGAAGCAAGAACCTGGAGGAGGCCATCAACTCCATGAAGAAGCAAGATGTCATGCCCACGGTTGTGGCTCTGGGGAGCGACGTGGACATGGATGTTCTGCTGAAGCTTGGCCTGGGGGATCGGGCAGCTATCTTCCGGGAGAAAGACTATGACAGCCTCTCCCAGCCCACCTTCTTTGACAGGTTCATTCGATGGATTTGTTAGAAGAAGGGCACACACACAATCCTTGTCTCACTGATATACGCACCCCTGATATTACCTGTTGTATTTTCTTCCCCCTGTATGGTTGCTAGCCCAGAAGAGCTGCCCTCTGTGACCTCCTTTCTAACCAAAATCCAGAGCTCTTTACTGATTTTCATGATGAAGAGTCATGTATCTTACATTTATGGTGCTAATTAAAACCCAGATAAAAGCAGGATACAGAGCCATAAGAAGTACTTCTGTAAAGCTTTGCACACACTAAGCCATGATTTGTGTACATACTGTAATCCTAAGAGGGATTATCAGAGATGCAAGAAACCATTCCAGTGTAGCAGGACCAATGAATAACTCTAGTTTTCAAGAACTCTCAGTATCTCTCAGTGCATCTTGCTCCTCCTTTCTGGGAACAGCAGGATGGTGTGAGAGGTTTTGCTGTCTTCCACACATGCTCCTTTGGGGGATTTATCTATCTTAAGCTTTGCAAGTCATCTCTAAGATCTTTATTTTCCTGTGGGCCATACCTGCCTTGATTCCTTCTGTCATTCTGCCCTTCATCAGAACCTGCTCATCTATTACTACACTCAAAATTTCAGCTGAGAGGGGCAGCATGACTCCCAGCATTGACAAAATAGTGGACAGCCAGCAGAGCTGCCTCCCAGTGTGCTCAAAGCATCATCCATGGTACCTTCCTCCAACTGGCATTAGCTGAGCAATGTCCAGCTTTGAACTTGAACTGTGCTGTCTGTAAAAATAAACAAACTTTTTTCACCCTATCCTGAAAAAGTATTTTTTTCTGTAGTTGTGGGGTTTTTAAAATTATTTTCAGTGAGCAGCTGATTCTCCTGGTTTCAAGCTGGTAAATGTAGATAATCATGGAATCACAGAATCACAGGAGGGAACTGAAAGACCATCTCATTTATTCCTACCATGGGCAGGGACAGAGATTGCTCCAAGCACTTGTCTTGAACACTTACAGCTGTTCATGCCCCTCATCTGTTCATGGGAGAATCCCTCTGCCCATGGTGAGCTTTTTCCTATAAATTATTACCATGGTGTGGTGGACAGCAGCCCACATAATTACAGCATCCCCCAGCCACTCCCTCTGCTAACCTGGGAAAGCTCACACAAAATATAAGAAGTTTTATGGGATCCATGTTAGCAGGCAGCATCATTGCCAAAGAAAAAACACACGGACACCAGTAGATTGGAAAACAGCATGTGATGACTTTCAACAGGCTCTCCCAAAGGACAGAGGGTAGAAATGTCCATTGACTCAGAGATTCCAGGTCCAAGGATTTACAAGCTACACACAAGAAAAATCACTCAGCAGGCAAAACATTGTTCCAAGGGAAAGGGGGAGGGAGTGGAGCGACATGCAGGGGGTTCCCACGAGGAGTTTGGCCCCATGTTTTGCTGATCACTGCAGAGCAGGTGGGACATACCAGACATTCAGTCAGAGTCAGAGCTGCTGCTTGAGCTGCGTGAGCCACCACAGGGCTGGGGAAGAGAAAACAACTTTAGAACAGCAGGGAAATGAGCCTCTGTCACAGCATTCCTGAGAGGGGTTAGTGACCCTATGGTGGCTGCCCCATATTGTGGGAGGGCTGGAGGTTTTTTATGATTTTTTTACAAGGTTCTTACGGTAAATAAAGGAAATTCCAGGAAGGACTTGCTCTCTGCCAGCAAGGATCAACGTCACAGCAGACCACTTCCAGAGCTGTTTCCCAGTGAGAAGAGCTGCTAGTGTGATTTGTTTGGGAAATGCTCCCACCCCCAATGTTGAAAATGGGGCCTTGTTTAGCAGTTCCTCATTCTGACCTGCACAAGATGATGCCCAACCCTGGAATGGTATTTTCTGCAGAACCTACTCCAAGCACAGGGAATTTTTTCTCCTTTTTTGGTTTTTTGAGAGTTGTTGTTTTTTTTTTTTAAGGGGGAACCAAACAGTTCCTCTGCTGCAAGACACTGAGTGAATGTCCATTATGGAGGCATGAACTTGCTCTCAGGTGAGCAGGACAAAATCCTGGGATTTAATACACTACATGATGCACCTAGAGCCACGTCACCACTTAAAATGGCTTCAAGGAATTTAATGGATTGCTTTTCAAATTACTCACTTAGTGTGACTCATTCTTGCCTATTTACTAATCTTACAAGTTTCCACATCTTAAAAAAGCCACTGAAGTTTGGGCACTTAGCTCCAGCCACTACAGGAGAGGAGAATCCCAGCTGCTCAGGGCAAATGTTATGGTTATGGACAAGGGGTCCAAAGGACCACAGCAGAATTAGGGAAGGGTTCACTGCTGTCCCACCCTTACCTTGCCTTCATGGTGCTTTCAGTGCTTTTGATGGTGCTCCTGGTGCCCATGGGGATGATGCCCTGATGGGGGGTGCCCATGGGGGTGCTGCCCAGGAGGAGCAGGGCCCGGGGGACAGACTGCCAGGTTCTCGCCAGGACCACGGTATCCTGGAGGGGCAGCAGGGCAAACTGCAACACCAGGAGGGTAGGGACTTCTGTCAGGACCACGGTATCCTGGAGGGGCAGGAGGGCACACTGCAAGGTATGCTTTTGGCGGGCCTAGGAAGAAGGGGGACTGTTAGTGGGCAGAGACAGACAGTGCAGGGAACTGGTGTACCCATCCCAGTCTACCTCTTCCTCACAAAGGACACCCCACACCCCTTTGGGATGCAGGTAAATCCCCCAGGTGTCTGTGGCCATGGCACAGAGCTCCCCTCTAAGCCTTGATAGCTGTATGGTACCTGCAGCCCTGCCTGGCCGCACGGCCCCTCACCTTGGTTGGGGTCACACATCCTCAGTGGTCTCCAAGCTGAAAGGGAAGGACAGGCACCATCAGTCACCTCCTGCCATGGGACATTGGCCAGCCAGCAGCTGGGACCTGTCTCCTCTGTCCCACGTCTGCCTCCAGCACAGGGACTACACTTGCTTCCCCAGCAGTGCCATCCCCCACACAGACTCCGACTGCTGTCTTGTCCCTCTGGTGACAGCGCCAACCCCCAGAATGACTGTCCCCCGCTCCATGCACACCTAAAGCCCAGACATGCGGTTTCCATCGTTAATAGAAATATACCCACACTGGTCCAGCCTGGGTGCCAGGCTCGTATCCTCATGGGCCACAAGGGACTGGGGACACGTGCCTGGGTGCAGTGCCAGGCATGGGGACAGTGCACCCTGACCCATGCTCCCGCTGTCCCCGTGCTCCTCCGCTGCCCTGCACTCACCAAACCTGCAGAAAAGTTCCCAGAAGAGGCAATGCCGGCAGCACTCGGGATCCCCGTCCTTGGCACGGCACTCCCGGCTGTCGAGCACCTATTAAATAGCGGGGCCCTGCCCCGGTCAGCCGGGGTGCGGTGGGGAGGGGTGACACCGGAGTGGTGACACTGCACCGTCACCATGGACATGCGGGAAACGTCAACACGCCGCTCCCAGCCGGCACAAAGGTCCCACAGGGATAATAAACACAGGCGATGGAGGGCGGAGATTCCAGCTCCCGGAGCGATGGGATGGATGGAGTGAGTCAGCTGACTCCACCATGAACCCCGGCTCGGTGCTCCGAGCTCAGGGACAATGCCCAGGAACAGGGGTGCCCTTCCCATAGCACGGGGCTGTGGGACAGCGAGGTGGGGCCAGACACTGCCCAGCGTGCTGCCGCGGTGTGCGGGTGGAGGACACAGTATCTGGCTGTCACACACGGTCAACAGGGACAGGAGGCAGGGCTGGATGCCCGGATTTTCAGGTTTTCTACTTGGAAGATCTATGAGGAGGGTGCAGGGTTTCTCCCATCTCAACCCGCCCCATCTCCCTGCTAACACCCCTGATGGTGCCTCATGTTTGGCAATGCTCCTTTCCCAGGCAATTCAACAGGCTGGAGTTGTCACACGCAGCCTGAAAGACACCTGGCAGAAAGGGACTGTGCCAGGTCTTGCCCCAGGTCTCGGGTGAGAGGGTATTTCGTGGGGGTTTCTGGACACAGGGACTGTGCGGGGTCAGGAGGTGCTCATGCACAGGGATCTTGTAGCAGGCAATGCTACAAGGATTCTTCCATCCCTTCCTGGGATCACTGTGGTCCCAGGCACTGCCAACCCAGTTGTCTACTTCTGCCCCAGGGATGGGAGGATGGGGCCCAGAGTCCAAGCCCATGACAGCAAAAAAATCCCCCATGTTCAGGGAAAGGCCAGGGGATATGATGCTGCATGTGCCTGAGCAGAGCAGCTCTCCAGAGGTGGATACCAACAGAACCTAGGCAGCAACAATAGTATTTCCCAGCTGTATTTGCCCCAGAACATTCCCGAGCCCTTCTCAGACCACCCGCTTGTCCAGCAGTGCCAGCACGACCGCCAAGCCTTGCTTTGCCTCTTCCAGCAGCTCAGAGACCTTCTGTAACATCTGTGTGGGGACAAGATGCATCATTTGGCACTTGGCAGGCCAGGAGAGCCATCCACAGAGCACCCCATGTGTCCTGCCAGCGGCAAAGGGGCACCAGCAGCCCCGCGGCGTCACTGCCATCTCCGCCCCCCTCAGCCACACTGCCTGTGTGGCCCGGCTCACCACACGCTTGAACTCCTCGTCCTCGATGTCCCTGAGGTTGATCATGACATTGCAGTAAGCTCCGAACACTGCCGCTTCCAGCATTTTGGCTCCCACCTGGAGAAAGTCGGCCTTGTGAGAAGCTCTCCTGGTGACCCAGCTCCACCATACGGCCATGAAGCAGGTCAGACCCTTATGCTGCAGGACTCCCACCCTGCACCACCCAGCAGCATGCAGTGTTTTCCAATCTCTTGGTATTCTCAGGAAATGGCTGCCCAAGAATAACTGGGTGGAAACCACTGGCCAGTTTTGGAAGCACAGCCGTAGGGATGCATCTTGGAGGTCAAGACATGAGGGAAGACCTTGCAGGGCAAGTGTGTGAGCTGGGGCCATATACCTGGATGTCAGATTTGCAGGCCAGGTTGCAGTGTCGTGCCAGCTCCTTCAGAGCAGGCCAGAGCCCGCTCACTTTCTCTGCCAGGCCATAGGGCACTCCCACAGCCGACTTCAGCCCCTGCTGCATGGCACTCCTGCGCCTGAGATGGGAGACAGCCCTGGGGTGAGTGCTGAGTGGCTGTGCCTCCACCGCGAGCCAGTCCCCACCAGCCCAGCTAACCTCTCCCGCTCCTCAGGGGTGTTCTTGGGCAGCTTCATGGCTTCCTGTAGGCAAAGAAAAGCAGGTTTGCTGCTGTCATCCAGACTTGCATCAGGGGTCAGGGCAGACCCCATAGCTCCTCTGCCCTTGCAAATCTCCCTTATGTGATGACAGTCCCTTCCCCTGGCCCTGGCTTTAGCGTCCCTGGAAGTGTTCAAAAAGGCTGCAGATGTGGCACTTTGTCATATGGTTTAGTGGGTATGGGTGTACTCAGTAGAACATTGGACTTGATAATCTTGGAGGTCTTTTCCAACCTTAATGATTCTATGATTCTAAGGTCAGAACCCTGCTCCTAAGGAATCCAGAGCACATCAATCCTAGCCCTCCGCCCAGCTGGAAAGCCCCCCTGTTTCCCTGCAGGATGCCTCTGGTGGGACCTCACCATGTAGCTGCTGAAGGCACGGGAGTCAGCATCCACCATAGCCACCAGCTCTTCCATGGCCTGGTGGAAAGGGGGGATCAGCTTCCTCATGATGGGGTCCAGGTCCTCAAACTGCCTCTTCCCGTAGCTCATCAGTCCCACCATGCTGCCCAGTGCTGCTCCCTGCCAGGGTAAATCCTCCAGTAGGACACAGTGCCCACTGCTACCACCATGCCAGCTCCTCTTGGCACACCCAGGGCCCCTAGGCATCTGTCTTGGTGTGGGGCACATACCAGGGATCCCGCAGCTGCAGACACAGAGCCTCCTCCTGGCGCTGCTGACCTCGCTCCAACTGCTTGCACAAAGGCACCCAGTGGCTTGGCCACCAGCCCCCTGTCCACCTCTCCTGCCTCCACCAAGTACCTGCAGCACAAGTGGTTTAGACCCCTCCAGGTGCAGAGACATCACCACCACCCAGACCCTTCTCACCCAGCACTGTTCTCTCCAGCACTGACTCCATGAATGAGTAGGGGACTAACCCAAAAAATGCAGCCTGAGGGTCAGGGTAAGGACTGGGAACCCCATGGGGACTGCTGAGGAGCACAGGTGGTGTGGGCATTGCCCTGAATTAGGTGGGTTGAGCTTATGCAAACAGCATTTTGTGGGACAGAAACACCCCTGCAGCCATGGCCCAGGAGGGTGACAAGGACTTCACCTCATGGTGGATTTCCCTTCCTTTCCCCCCACAGACTCATGTTTCACACGGGGTGCTGCAGCATGTGAATCAGAGGGAGTGAAATTTTGCATGGGGATAGGGTAAGGAATTCAACCTTCAAATCTGGCCACGAAACCTGCTCCCACTGCCTGCTGAAGCAACCTGAAGTTCCCCCACTCCACGTTCACATACATCAGCATTTGGGAGCAGGGAACCACCCTGCTCCTGCACAACACCCAACAGAGATGTCCCCAGGCTGTGAAGAGGAGATGGGAGCAGCCTCCACTCCCAAAACAAGCTGTGTGCAGGATGCAGGCAGCAGGATCCCCCCCCAATCCAGGCAGGAACAGGCACCATGACAAGAAGTAGGATGTGGGTCCCTACTCGATGATGCGCTCCCGGGGGCGAAATGGAGACAGGGAGTCCAGGCCCAGCCGATTGACAACCTGCAAGGAGCAGCACTTCTGTGTCAGCCCTGTCACATAAGTCCTGCTGCATCCTCATTCCCCACTGCTAATTAACCATGGGTGAGTCAGCGCTTTGACTGGGCCGCCACCCAGGGAGAGGACAGCTGGCACCACCAGCCCATCCCCTCCCAGACTTGGGGGCAATGTGTGGTTACCTCCAAATGACTGGGAACTGTACAGATAAATCATTAGCTTGCTCTTATCTAGCATGTTCCCCACAGGCTGGAAAAGTCCCTCCCTCCTGCAGTGGAACAAGAGAGCCTGTCTCCTCCTTTCCAGCTTACTCCCCATCCTAGGACAGCCTCACATAATGCCACACATTGTCCCTGAGATCTGGGGACACTTCCTTCCCTCCTGGCTTCCATGCAGGCAAGACAAGTGGCTGCTACACACACTCACTCCTCATGGGTTGTGGTTCCTGCTCCCTGTGCATCTCAGCGTGATCAGCACAATAAAGCAATTTGTCCCACTCACTGTCCCCCCAGCCCTCGCAAAATCCACCCTGGAGACAAGTGTCATGCCTGGGGCCTCAGCAGTCCCAAATCTCTGCTCAGTGCTACTTTGGGAGGCTGGTGGGGGGTGGGATATGACTCTCTCATGATCCCACCCTTGTGCTGGTAGCAGGAGAAGCCACATTACCAGCCTGATCTTCTGTTCCTCCTCCAGGATGAAGAGTTTTTCCTTCTTGATGTAAAACTCAGCTGCATCCATCATGGCCTTCTTGGGAATGAGCCCCACCAGCTGAGACCCCACCACCGGGAGATTCAGTTCCTGCAAAGGACATCAGAAATGTGATTTTCCTCAGAGCCCTGCTGCCACTACTACCCCAGCCTGGTGGTCCTCATCCCTTCCCAAGACATGGGAAGCTCACAGAAAAGCTTTCAACAGAGGAGCTGGGTTGCATGTTGCTGAGTTTCTGGGGGTTTTGTGCCATTTCGCACTTTGGCTGAGCTAAGCATGAAAGAAAACAGAGCCTGACCTGAGGGTAGGTCATAAAGCTTGGTGGGAGACATCCTCTGGGAAGCCCCCTTGGGAAAAAGCACCCCAGACCACCCACCTGTGCATCTCGGCAGATCTCCTCATAGACGGTGTGGAGTGGTGTGGTCTCAAAGTCCAGCAGGTTTGTCGAAACCTGGGCCATGTTCTCCTCCTCCAAATACCAGCCAATGCCCTGCACCTTCTTCAAGCGCCCGGGCTGCCAACAACTGCCACATTCAGGGCACAGCCCAGGAGGTGTGGGGACAGGCAGGTGTGCTCCTGGTGTGCCCACACTCCTGGGATACCTGGTTGGGCCCGCGGCCCTGCTCGCGGATGTTGAGGGCAATGCGGTGAGCCAGTTCCTTGGTGCACAGCAGGTTGATGTTGTACGCAATAAGGAAGGTCCGGGCACCTGTCACTGTGGCCCCCCACCGGGGGACAAAAGCTGGGGGCCCAAAATCAGGAGCCCACTCTGGTTTTGCAAGCTGGGGAGGAGGGAGGACACCGTGTGGGCTGGCACTGCCCAGGAGGACATGCCACCTTCCCATCTCCCTCCCCAGCTGGAATCTGCCATGACCACTTGTGTCACCAGCTCCTCTTGGTGCAAAGGGACTACACCAGTGCCCAGCATGCTCCCTGAAGCCAGGGAAGTACAGATCAGGTCTGTCCAGCCTGTGCCTCCACCAGACTCACTTTCTCAGGGAGCGCCTCGTACTCTCCAGCACGGATGGAGGGCAGGGCTTTCCTTCTCTCGTCCCGTGCCGCTGCTCCATACAGGTAAACTGCAAGACACAGCCTGGGGTGAGCACCAGCAGGCAGGGGACTTTCTCCAACAGTTGGAATCATGCAGGGTAGGATGGAATGTGGAGAGGTTCCTGACCCCACTCACCAGGCACACCCAGCTCTTCTGCCAAGCGCTGTCCGAAGATGTGGGCACAGGTGACACACTCCTCCATGCTGACGTTCCTCACTGGCACAAAGGGGCAGACGTCCAAGGCCCCCATCCGAGGGTGCTCACCTGGTGGTGGGGCAGATACAGGAATGGGAAGTGGGAAGAACAAGCAGATAAGGAGGGAGAACAACCCTTTCCCACACTCTTACAGACTGGACACCATTGCTGTGAGAAACCATAGAATCACAGAATAATGCAAGTTGGAAGGGACACATCAGGAACATTGAGTCCAACCCCTGGCCCTGCACAGGGCAGCCCCAACAATCCCATCATGTGCCTGAGAGCACTGCCAACACTTCATAAACTTTGTCAGGCCTGGGGCTGGGACCACAGTCCCTGTTCCAGTGCCATGCTTGGTCCCAGCAGTACAACAGCCCCCTCTGTGCCAGCCCAGCCCCTGGGCAGATCTCCCAAGCTCACCTGAGTGTCGGCTCATGTCAATCAGCTGCCCAGCCACATGGGCCGCACTCAGTGCCCCTTCCACCACGGCCTCAGGGGACCCCACAAAGGTGTAGACAGTGCGGTTGGTGGAGGCGCCAGCATCCACATCCAGCAGCACACATCCTGGTGTCCGGGAGATGGCCTGTGCCACTGCATCAATTACCTGCCGGATAGCAGACGGGAGCAAAGGGGCTGAGATGGCTGGGGCTGCACAACAGCCATGGCTTTTCAAGAGAGGGGACATCTCAGCTCTACCCCTTCCCACTGGTGATGGGGTTGAGGATGACCCTGTGATCAGTGGGGATGCAGCCCTGCACAAGCATCCCACTCCCACCCAGGGTGTTTGGGGCACCCATGGCTCCCTAAACTTGCCATGGTTGGGGAGAGAGACCTGGCTACTGCTGCATGTCACAGAGCTCCGCCACAAATTGCTGTTCCTGAGGATACATCCTCCACATGCCAGCTTCCTAACACATTCGGCTCTGCAAAGCCTCTTCCCTGGAGGAGGCTGTGTTTTTACAGCCGTGCTGGTTTTGCTGAACTCTCCTGCCACTGGCAGAGCCAAAGTTCAGTTGAAAGCTGATGCCCAGGACAGACTCCATTAACCGGGACACCATCTTTCGGCACAGCTGCAAGCAATATTTCTCTGCAGGGGTATCCCACACTAACCCTAGACCTGGTGCTAGAGCAACCCGCAGTCAAAGGTGGAGGAGGTCTCAGCCCCTGCTTCTCACCAATGTGCTGTAAGGGAGCCGAGGCTACCTTTAGGCATTTTTGGCACTAGCCAGGTAGTGAAAAGTGCACAGCACTGCAAAGGAGGCATGGCAGAGTCTAAGAGTGGGTACTGCCCTGCAGGGGGAAACCTAGCTGTCAGCACCCTGGTGTCACCCACCCATCAGCCCTTCTACATACTCCCTCACCTCTTTGTTATTCCCCTCTGAGAAGTTGGGGACGCATTCCACCAGCTTGGCCATGGTCCCAGGGTCTGCTTGCACCCCTCAGCTCCTGGCTCAGCTCTTCACACCCCAGGGGTTTCCTGCACTTTCTAGTCCCACTGCGGAGCAAAAGCCTCTCAGCAGCCAACCCGTTGCCTCTTTCCCAAGCTCGAGTTTCTAATTAACTGAATCGATCTGTGGCCAGGGGACAGAAAGGGGCTTGGATAAACACCACGGTACTGGCTCTGCTGTGCTTGGAAGAGCTCCAGGCACAAGGGCTCTGGTGTCCAGATGGCAGGGCTCACCAGCACCAATTAATGGATGAAGAAAAGAAATCTGCTGCAATCAGCAAAATGCTGTGATTACCACATGGGACAGCCAAGTCACTGCAACATAACCACTATTCTTCGTGGGGGAGACAGCTCCTTGCAGGACCTTCACCATGGATATCAGGTAAAACTCATCGCTGTGAGCAGGATTCGAACCTGCGCAGGGAATCCCTATTGGATTTCGAGTCCAACGCCTTCACCCCTCGGCCATCACAGCCTTGGGCCCTGTGGTGGGGGGGACAAGACAGAACCACATTTTGCTGGGAGGTGGGGAAGTGTCTGGGATGTGTCACGATCTGCAAGGTGGGATTTGTGATGTGGTTCTTTTATTCGGTCTTAGAGTACAAAAGATTATCAGCAAACCAAGGACTTAAACAGCAAAACACACTTTATTGAGTGCTCATCAGCACTAATATGGGATAGAGGGAAAAGAGGAGAAAGCAAAGCATAAGAGAAAGAGAGTAAGGGGATTATAGCTACCAATGTCTAAGTCCACTCAGCCGTCCAACGACGCAGAGTCTTCTGTCCGCTGGGGAGATCTCAAAGAAAGGTAAGTTTGGGGTGTGATTTTATAGTCTTTAACAATGCGAGGGGCACAGGGCCAAAACCAGAGGAGATTGATGATCATTGTGATGAATTCCATTGCGCAGGGAGCAGGTGTAGGGTAAAAAACAAACCAAGTCTTGCAAGTCTTTGCTCACCAGCAGGAACGACGGCAATGTGTCATGTAAACCCATTGTGCAGGGTACAACGCACAAACCTTTGCTCACCAGCAAGAATGAGGACATGTGCAAACAATCACTGAGCAAACATCCACCTCAGCTAGGCCCAAACTCCCAAACCAAGTCCCTTGGTTTGTATTCAGGGTCTCAGCCTCTGTCCTAGAGACAGTTGTGAGACGGATGAGGGAATCTTCGGACCGTCTCTTCCAGGATGTCCCGGGAATTAAAAAACTGCGGCTCGTTGGTCTAGGGGTATGATTCTCGCTTAGGGTGCGAGAGGTCCCGGGTTCAAATCCCGGACGAGCCCTGTTTTTTTGCCACACCCGCTGCTCACCACGGCCGCATCTCAAGCGCACTGCAAACATGCCCTCACATTCCCGCTCACCACCTCGGCCCCGGCCGGCACTGCAGCCGGCCGACACGGCCGCGGCCCATCTACACTCGGCCCCTTACACGGCCTCTGTGCCTGCAAAATAACCTCCCTGCTCTGCCCCACAAGTATTCCCCCTATTCCAACCCCCTCACCAGCCCAGTGACACCTAAGGGACCCTCAAGTGCTTGAAGCCCTTTTCCCGAGTTTGAGCGGCAGGCGAACGCAGCACACACAGCGATTGTCCCGGAGCAAGGAGAACGCCGGCACAGACGCTGTGTCGGGGCGGGGGATGTAGCTCAGCGGGAGAGCGCTTGCTTTGCATGCAAGAGGCCCTGGGATCAACCCCCAGCATCTCCATGTCCTTTTGCCTCTCCACACCCCTCTCTGATGCATGCGGGGCAGCCAAACACCCCCAGATCCCCCCCAGAAAATCTCGGGGGCTGCCTGTGGATGTGGGATTGCCTCCTGGCACGCCAAAGCAGTCAGCGAGGAGCAGCCCGCAGATGCTGCAGGGTGTGGAGATACCCAGTGTTCCTTCCCTGGGGGGCTGACAGGGTGACCACTGGTGTTGGGGGGACCAGCCGGTTGGCAGGGAGGCGCTGGGTGTCCAAAAAGAGGGCTCGTCCGGGAGTTGAACCCGGGACCTCTCGCACCCTAAGCGAGAATCATACCCCTAGACCAACGAGCCAGCGTGCATCCTTTGCCCTGTGTCTGCCCTCTGGGCCGAGACACCCTGGACGCTTCCCTGCTGCCCAGCAAGATGCTGCTCCATGCACATGCTGCCACACGGGGCCCTGCCATGCACTCATACACCCCTTTACAGCCTGTGATAAATAGCATGTGTAAATTCGTGCTAAAGTTATAATCTTGTCTGACAAGTATCTTAGCATATTTCCAGGAAATCTTCCCTGACAATATTATAGTGATATGCAGCAAGGCCAACATGAATATTCATCTGCAAGGGGCATATTTCCAAGAAACCTCCGTCTGATAAGATTATAACAATATGCACTCATA